CTCTCACAGTTCCGCAAGAATTAGAAGTACTCTGGTTAGACGTTAGAGTACCGTCATTATCAGATTCTTTCGGGTATCGGGGGTGGCTGATACTTTGAGGACCACCCCAACCTGGTTACCCAGGTTGTTTAACGTCCTATCCTCTGATCTTGGACATTTATAGAAATACTTAAATATAGCTTAATACAATAGTACAAATTAAATATAAAACAAAATTTTGTAATTAGTATGAAATAACTAAATTTAAAATTTATAAATATATTTAATAAAAATACAGCTTAATATAATAGTACAAATTTTGTACAGCTAGATTTCTCTAAATGCATGCTTTTGAGACTACAAACAACATGCATATAGAGAACAATAAGAAAAAGTGCATTTATGGATCATATATATACTTAGCTGATATTTGTTATGCATTTTGAGAGTGTATATTTAGAAATGTCTGACTGTATTTTTAATATAATAGTACAAATTTCATATAAAACAAAATTTAGTAATTAGCATAAATAGAATTATTTAATTAATTTATTATTTATATATAATCTATATATATAAAGAAAGTTAACAATAAGTTCAACAAAACCAATAAAGATTTATTGAATTTTATTGGTTCTATAAAATAATTTATTGATATATAATCAGACCTCTCTAAATGCACCTTCTATAAATGCATACCACCTCTAAATAAACACCTAAATGCCAAACCAATATATATACAATCATCATAAAGGCACTTTTCTTATTATTCTCTATATGCATATTATTAAAGTGTGGCCTCAAGGGCATGCACTTAGAAATGCCTAACTGTATTTAATAAAATATAGATTAATATAATTATACAAATTTTGTATAAGACAAATTTAGTAATTAGTATAAAATGAGTATAGGCAAGAGAAAATGTATATTCAAAATATAGAACTTTCTGTGCAACATCATGCAGGATTTCAAAATTATTTTTAGAAATACATATGATCAAAAGAATGTTCTAACAACTATTCTAGTCATTTCAGTTATGTGATTAACAACATGATTAAGGTTATTGTACATATATAAAATTAAGATCAAAAATCTAGGTGCTATCTTTAAAATCAAAGAAGTGCTGTCTGAAGTTATTGCATTGTTTAAGTAGTTTATGAGTTTGCTGCTTTGAAGATTTACTATAATTCTATTTTATTCGCATGATTAGTCAGCAAAAGTGAAGTGCATTCTCAACTAATATTTTTAGAATAAGCTGTTCAAATTCACAGATATAGTTCTTTTATTAAATTTATCAAAAATTTGCTATTGATCTTTAGGAGTATTTTCTTTGTAATGGTTTAAAGTTGGTTAATTGATTCAGCTAATATAATACATATATAGTTAGCTTGGCATCAAACATTTGATTCACCACAAGAATAGACAAGTGGAAGTAAGAATATCTATAATTATATTAAAGAATTTCAACTTTAGCTATTTCATATAAAGGTATAATCAAGTGGATTCTTTTGATAGATTAGGTAATATTTAGAATAGTAGTAATAAATACAGACTTTTAGCAACTTGGTTAAATACAAATCATTTATATAGATATGTTTTATTGAAAAATATAGAATACTCAAAATACAGCATGATATTGAACAAATAAAAACAAGAGAATTCAGCTTAAAGCTAAGATGTAATTGAGTGGATTTTTTTCAACTAGTCACTCATATATACTAAAACTGTCAAAGTAAAATAAAGAAAATTAATACTTTTAAAAAAAATTTTTATATAAATACACAACTTTTGAATTTTGACAAAATAATTTACTTTTTTCTAATTATAATTATACATATATTCAAGTATTGAAAAATGCTTTCTCATACAGCTCTCATTGTTGTTATTATCAATGTAAAAAGTAGCTATCTATGTTCATAAGGTTCTGCTAAATACAAACTTCCTAATAAAATATTTCAAATAATTCGGTAAAAATACTTCTTTTATACAAATGATTTACCACAAATAATTACAACTGGTAATATTGTATCTTTTTCTGAAAAATATATTATTGAAAATTCTGATTAGTATTTTACTGTTGCATATGCAAGCATTCTTAGCACTAGAAACTCTAATCACAAATTTAACATTACTAACATTTCTTTATGTGTACCTCATTGTATGTTTTTAGCATATATAACTCATGCTCTAAAAAAAGTTAAAAATTTTATTTATTTTGGGAAAGAGTATTTTGAGTATAATTTAGTTACTAGTACAGCCAATGTAAGAATACAAATAACCATACTTTATCACTTTTAATCAAAAAGAAATAAAACATATTTAGGTCCTTTAGGATCTTATATTAAATTAGATAATACTTACCTTATTTCTAGACTTGTCAAATTTTCAAAATCTGGCAAGATTATGGTAAAGGCAACTGATATAGAACATTTAAAAATTTCAAATTATATTATATTTGAAAGTTCTACCTCAATACCATCTAGCACTAGATTAATTATTGATATCATTGCTGATGATATTGAATTTCAAAAATAAGAGTACATAACTTTAGTGAATGTAATATTAGTGCCGCTTATAGATTATTTGAAGATCCTGTCAATTCAAATATTCAAGAAGATGAAAAAGAAAACCAATTAGTTCATAAAGATAAAGAAATTATTATTATTATTTTTTTATTAATGTTAATGTCATATATAGAAAAGCGAATAACTTTTACAAAGTATTATATGAATATATAATAGTTAATCAGATAGATTTTCTATAAACATCTAATTTGATGTGACATTACACCTCCAATTTTCTATTTTAAAGCTAATTTAAGTTAACAAGACTACTATTAGCTAAAGAAAGGCTGGAGAAAAACCTTGTTTAATATAAAATAGTAAGGTATATATATATTTAGATTGAAATAGTTTTAATAAGCTAAAGAAATATTGTAAAAATAATAATAATAATAATAAGAGTTGAAGTTAGAAAAAAAATAAAAATAAAAATAAAAATAGTAAGAGAAAAAAAAAAAAGGAAAAAAAAATGAGTTTATAACTCTGCAGTATTATATATTTAAGCTATGATATATAAAAATTATAAGGAAAAGCTATATAAATAATAATTAAAGTGAGAGAAGAAATAAAAAAAAAAGTATGTTCGTATTGTAGTAGATAATGCTACCTCAGTGCACTGGGCCTAACATACTATCAGGAGGTTTGAATGTACAGCCCTGCAGTGCAATACACTCTAACCACTGTACTACAACCATCAGGATAATGAAAATCATTTTTGTACATTTTTTGAATATTTGTTTTGGATAAGATTTACTAATCAGATTGCTTAATTTAACCATGTATTAGTTGTCAGAGAATTTTGTGTTGTACAGCATATATATTTAAGGTTTTGTGTTTAGAGTTGGTTTATACTTCAAGTAAAATGAGTCGACGAAGTTATTTTAGAGCACACTTAAAGAGAAGTTTTAAAAGAAGCTTGCCTCCAAGATTAGTAGAAGATTTGCCATCAAAAGAAAATGAAGATTTGTTTTGAAATAAGGTGGTAGCTTTAACTCAAGAAGAAGAGATACTTTTGTCACAAATTGAGGTTGAGAAAAATGTTAGTAAGATTTCAGAAGAGTGGACTAAAGAGATTTATCCCTATGATTTTTTGTTAGTTGGGTTTTCAAGAATGAAAAGGTATACATTTATATTATTAATATAGATAGGTTGACAAAAAAGATCATATTTTGAAAGGGTTAAGTAAGATATTAATTATGTAGTTTGCGAATTGAAGAGAAGTCTTTGAGAAAATGGTTGGAGAAAATAGAAGAACGAATATAAAAACAGACATCAGAACAAGGTTCAGAAGGTGGTCAAGATAGTTGTACTTTAAATTATTTTCTTGATCTGAAAAGAAAATATACGCAGAGGTTAGAAAAGTTGCAAATGTTATGTCATGCAGAAAGTTTTGGTGAAGTTGGCGAAAGTATAAATATTGTAGATAGTAGTTAAAATGAAGAGTTTGTGTAGTAAGAGAAATTTTTAAAATTTAGTTTAGTTTTGAATATATCAATTTTAAATAAAGATTAGATAAAGAATAAGTTGTTAAATGAGTATATGATAGTAATAAAATTAAATAATATATATAAGATTTGTAAAATTTTATAAAATGGTCTATATAGTTAATTAA